CTTACCTACCAACTACTGGAGTTTGCTAAAGTCTATCTTCTTGAAATCCATTGTCTTTATTTTGCTGCTCTCCTTTCATATCATGTTGCTTTCATCTAACCTGCCTTCCACTTTCAAATTCTCAATCAGTTCTTCCCGATTTGTAAAAATCAAATCTAGAACAGTCTCCTTCCATCAGCTTTCTCCACTTTCTGAAATAAAATAATTGTCTCTAATATATTCCAAGAACTTGTTGGATAGTCTGCACCCTGCTGTGTTATTTTCCCAACAAATGTCTGAATAATTGAAAACAATGAGTAGTCCTATGAAACCATAGGTTACATCTAGACTGCAGAGATTTTCTGGGATACCTCTGTCATCCCAGATAAGCTCTGCAGTGTCCAAGGAATGCATCTGCTTTTCAGAAAAAAAATTTGGAAAAGCAGAAGCATTTTTTCACATCCCTGTAAACCTCATTCTATAAGGAAGAAGGGAAGTACCAAAAGAAGCTTCCCCCCCCCCAACATTTGACCCAGTGCAGACGGGCCAATTGTCAGAAATGCCTCTTTCAGAAGAAAAGAGGAAAAAGATATACAAAGTGGCTGTGTCTACATTGGCACCCTTATCCGGAAAAGGGATGCTAATGAGACCAGTCGGAATTGCAAATGCTCCGGGGATTTAAATTTTCCCCGTGGCATTTGCATGAACATGGCTGCCGGAAAAAAGCGCCAGTCTAGACAGGGATCTTGCGGAAAATAAACCCTTTTCCGGAAGTTCCCTTATTCCTACTTAAAATCAGGAGTAAGGGATCTTCCGGAAAAGGCTTTATTTTCCGCAAGATCCCTGTCTAGACTGGCGCTTTTTTCCGGCAAAGCCCCATATAAATTATGAGCTGTGTGATCAAAACACACTTTTGAGCTTTTGTGGGCAAATGACCTCACCATGCTGTATATCGGCATTTGTTAGGTTCTAGGGTGCTACAGAGTTATTGGTTGTTTTTAAAGTTACAGATTAATATGCTACCACGCAGAGAATTTTGAAAAGTTGAAGTCCCCCATCAACACCAAGTCCTGTGATTCAGATGATTTTGTAAAGTTTTTTAACATAAAAGCCTCCTGCACATGTGCTGGTTGCTCGATATTCCTGTGAGGCAAAATTCAAACTACTGTTACTGCAGAAAATTGTACAGGTATGAGTTATGAACATCTGCATTACAAACTAACTGGTCAACAAAACATCTTATTTGAAACCAGAAATATGTAGTCAGGCATCAGCAAAGACAAAAACTACAAAACCAAAAAATCAAATACAATGCAGTATTGTGTTTAACTGGTAGGAAAAAATCAAGGGAACATAGCATTTTACTCCTGCATAATAAACTTTCAGAGCTCTATAGAATCAATGTCCAGTTTGTAAACTTTAAAAAACCTCAAAACCCAAAATGTTTTATTCAAAGTTATGAAAGTTTCATGATTATTCTTAAGCTATTGGCAAATTCCAGGTTCTACTCTAATTTGTTGTCATGAGGTGTCACTGCCCTGCAGTGCCCTATTCTGTTTAATAGTGGCACTCCCTGGCCCACGTCAAGACCCATGACAATATAATACCCTCCCTGGGGCTGGTTCATTGTAAAACCTAGTGCAAAATTGTTCATAATGGAAGTCCCAAACAAACAAAATGTTGCTTTGACTTTTGGGACAGCTTTGAGATCCTCCTGCTCACCCTGCTGATAGTCATGAGAGGGTTATGTCTCAGTTTGTGTAGCTCTTCTTATGGCAGGTGCCCTCCAGTCTCCCCTAGGGATGGGTAATTCAGGCAGTTATTGCCTCTCTCTTTAAACTAGCTGTTTCCAGGAAAGGGCTGTAATTTAGCCCACTATAGAGCTGTAATGGCATGTTAGGGTACATTAGGAGGAGCATTTCCAACTGATCTAGGGAAGTGACTCTCTTGTCCTGGAACATATGCGGTCATGAGACCATGAGTATTACTGGACCAGAGAAGTCTGGGTTTTAGAGGTGCAACCTGTACTATGTTCATGGTATCCAATCATGACCCTAAGGTCATGATTGGATACCACAATGGTGAAAGCCATATAATTAACTTGACAGATAGGGAGGAAGAGGACCACTGTTGGGGTCTGAACCTGTGAAAGAACCATTCAGGTGGTAATGAAACATTTAACAGGCATTTTCCACCCCCTGCCAGTTTTGGAATTTCCTGTGATAGTCTATAGGACCTTACTTTAAAATTTGCTTTAAAATATTTCATTTGTGGGTTGCTGAAGATTTTTTTAAAATCACATCTCTAAAAAATCTTCATCCCTGCTGGCTGCCTTTGGAAATTTGGGGCATCAGTTTAATAGTACTGTGTAGGGTCCCATAAATTCTAAAGGTGTCCAGTGTAGGGAGTTCCCAAAGTTACTGCAGAGCAGAGAGCTCTGCCCAGTTTTATGTGGTCAGACCTGTTTTTATAACTGTGCCAGTTCTTACTAACTGCAAACATTTTACATGATACAAATTATTGTTTAACCATAGCAACACCCTGTTTCATTGCCTATCCACCTCAAAGGTTTCTGTGAACTTGAGACAGAGAGTTACAGGAAATAGAATACAGAAACTGTACACTGTAACTGCAATAAAAATAAACATAAATCTACACACACCTGCTTCCCGTAAGAGAAAGTGCTTTCTACAGCATAACTTTGCTGAATACCAATAGAATCTTAGGCTATATCTAGACTACATGGCTTCGTTGACGGAGCCATGTAGATTAGACACATCGGCAAAGGGAAATGAAGCCGTGATTTAAATAATCTTGGCTTCATTTAAATTTAAATGGCTGCTGCTCTCTGCTGACCAGCTGATGATCAGCGGTTTGTTGATAGATCAGGGCAGTCTGGACGCTCCCGCGCTGACCTGAAAGCCCTGTGTTGATCTCCCCCTTATGCCTCGTAGGATGAGGTTTACCGGGGAGGTTGACAAATGGCTTTCAGGTTGGCATTCCAGACTGCCTCAATCTGCTGACAAACAGCTGGTCGGCAGAGCGCGGCAGCCATTTAAATTTAAATGAAGCCGTGATTATTTAAAACGCGGCTTCATTTTCCTTTGCCAAATAAACAAATCTACATGGCTCCATCGACAGAGCCATGTAGTCTAGATGTATCCTTTGAGTCTGTGTGTGTGTGACTAACATGCCATTTTGTTGCTTTCTTTGTTTGCTCCTCTCATGTGTCCTTCCCTCAGGAAGAGACCATAGTTTTGTATTTGCCTAGTGCCTGGCATAACAGAGACCTAATCCATGACTGGGGCTCTGAGGCCCGACTGAAAAGCACACATATAAATAAATAACTATTCCTGTTCTGCAAATACCTGCAGAGCGGGGAGATATCTACCATTTGATGGCTCTTCCATATGTCAAGTTAGAGACAAAAAAATCCAGTTGCTGGAAGTTCACGTCAGAAATATTTTAGTTGGAACTAAGATGCACATTTTGAATGATCAGGGTAATTCATCATTTGGACAGCTGCTCCTAACTTTTGGGGCATGGGAAGTTGACCTGTTCACTCAGATTCCATACATGTTAGAGTCAAATGCTAGAATCAGCTGATGCAATTCTCTGGCCTGTTTACACAGGTGTTCAGACTAGCTGCACGCAGTGGTTTCTTCCAGCTTTGAGCATCTATACATATATAATGTTCTAATTTATTAATTTTATTTTTATTTAATAAATTAGCCTTATTTTATCTACTACATACATTAGATTTTCAGTGATTTTATTATTATTTGTGTTGTGTGTGATCTAGTGATAGCTCTGAAGGATTAGGCAGCGTACTCATAAATTTCACCAAAACAAACAAACAAACAAACAAACAAACCCAAACACCTTGCCCAAACAAAAGAAGGAAACAAAAACTTAGTTTGGAGGTGGGACAGAGGGAATAAGAATTTAACATAAGAATGGCCATATTGGGTCTGACCAAAGGTTCATTCTACCAACAGTGGCCAATGAGAGATACCCTCAAAGAGAATGAAGAGAAAAGGAAATCATTAAGGCTACATCTACATTGCAGGATTTTTGTGCAAGAACAGCCATTCTTGCACAAAAAACTTGTGGAGCATCTACACTGCATGCATGTTCTTGCGCAAGTACATTCACAATAAAGCATCAGAAGAAAGGGCTTCTTGCACAAGAGTTATTCCTTTCCCCATAAGAAATAAGCCCTCTTGTGCAAGAGCTCTTGTGCAAGTAGGCAGTGTGGACAGGAACAGGAGTTTCTTGCGCAAGAAACCATTCTGGCTAATAGCCATGGATGTACCTATCCTCCATGAATTTAGCTCTTTTTTGCATATTGTTATAGTCTTGAGCTTCACAACATCCTCTGGCAAGAGTTCCAAAGGTTGACTGTGCGCTGTAACAATAAATGCTTCCTACTTAAATGCTTAAAATTCACCTACTTTCAATAAAATATGAAAAAAGGCAACTAGTGGCATTTGCCTCTTAAGTTGGAGGATATGTATTAAACACGTCTCGCCGTCAGTGGGTGTGATGGAAAGAATACTTGAGATACTCCTGATAAAATAATGAAATTTGTTATTTATGTATCAGGACAAGGGGAAAATCTAAACACTCTCAAGGAGAAACAGGAAAATAGCAACTGCCATATTGGATCAGGCAAAATACAAAGAACCATTGCTGAATAACCTGCACATAGAGGAAACACATATTTTATCTGACATATTTTATGTTCCTTTATTGCATTTCACCATGAATTCACTCTCCTCTTTTGTATTCTAAAGCTTGTCAAATTTGGAATTTGGCTAGTTCAAGGGTTGTTGAAATTACCCATTATTAAAATTTTATTAGACATATTTCCCTCTTTGATCATACTCATTCTTTCATAAATACTGTCCTTGTTGATTGACAGGCTGATAGAATAATCCTATAAGCAGGTAACTTCAACAACTTGTAGCAATGGAATAAAGCCTTATTTAGAAAACAAAAAAGCATTACCACTGACTCACATTTTTGCTTGGAAGTTAGTTACGGCCCCTGCGAAAGCCTTTTGGAATACCCTGTTGAGCACTGATCGGCACCAACTCTCTTTCCTCTTTCTCAAAAAGTGAAACCAGTCTCCCTTCTGGAAAAACAAAGGGCAAGTTTCACTCTCTGCAACTGGCAGGTGGTAAGGTTCAAAGGGCAAGATTCTCCCTGTTATGTTGGAAACACACACACAAAGTTAAAAAGAAACAATCCTCTTGCTAGGTAGTTTCAGCATAACTCTGCTTTATGTCTTTGGATCCAGAAATTTAATACATAATAATGAAACAGAAATAGACCCAGCAGGATGCTGCTTAAAGAAGAAAGCCAAAACTCAACCCATCATTTTCCAGACTGTCCTGATAACAGACTGATTGCTGATGACCCAGAATGGACATATCCACTCAGGCCCCTCTTGCACACAAGACCAAGACCCCAATAGAATTTAAACTAATAATTTGTAATTTTAATAGCATCCCACATATATAGAGAATTATGTGACCTTGCTCTTTAAGCATGAAGCTACATTTCATCTAAATGGAATAAAATTGTAACAGTTCAGAAAAAAATGGTGCTTCTACAAAGTGAAAATTTTCCTTGAGGAAATTTTTGTAAGTTCATTGAAAGGGTTTTAAGAGAACTCTTCATGAAAATCACTGTGCAGCATCAGTCTAAAGAGTTAGCAGAATGTTAGGCATCCTCAAGAAAGTGATAGGTAAACAGATAGGCAATATAATGCTGAAATATCAATCCATGCTATACCAACACATTGGGGAGACCACTTGTAGTTCTGGCCCCCTCATCTCCAAAAAGATTCATTAAAGTTGGAAATGGTGCAATGGTGCATCATTTACCACTTCACATAACACAAGAATCAGGGGCTACTCAGGGTGCATCTACATAGCACAGTTATTTTGAAATAACAATGACGAGTAACGGTAGTTCGGAATAGGAAGCCTAGTCCGAACTACCTACTCCGTGCCATGTGTAGCTGCGGGCACAGAGTCCGAACTAGCGGGGATTAAAAAATGGTGGTGCCCGGCAAGATGCAAATGAAGCCCAGGAAATTCAAATCCCAGGCTTCATTTCCAACTTCGGTTGCCTACATTAACCACCCTCGTTCAAACTAGGGTGGTAGTGTAGACATACCCAAAGCTATTACAGGGTATCACGGGGCAGGTGTGCCCAGTCCCCTCTGAGGCAGGGCATTGGGCCTTTTAGGCCTTTCACCATGGGCTCATTCCCGTGATTATCTACATCTCTTAGTGCCACGGTCCTCTCCCTATGCCCCTTCTCCCTGTTAATGTTAACGCTGTCCATTAACAAGCAAGCAGGTACTTTCAGTACTGTTAGGAAAACTGCAGCCTATGCTGAGAATCAACAGAGATGAATTATATTCAAATAATAGCACCTGAAACCATATGAAATGTAATGTTTGAAAGGATGAAGGGAGCTGCTGCAGTGGAGTTCTCCATGGATTTAAAAGGGAGATGAGACCATGAACACTGAAGCTATAGGTCCACAACAGTCTTCAGCATCTGTGTTTTGCTGCCAGAGAAGCCTCCTATTCTTGCTAGGACATCTGGATCTTTACATACCAGGTTACCACCCTCTGTTGCCTAGTTACCACCCCTCACCTTACGGAAGGGGGCCTTACTTACTATCCTCCATGCCTTCAATTCCGACCTGGTCCTGAACCTAGGTCGGTATGTGCATTAGTTTTTGGGGAGTTTTTGTACCAGGACATTCCTGAAGATGTTCTGTTACTCCCTTTTGGCTTACAGTCTGTACTTGGTGCTTTCCTGTGTCCTTCCATGCTTCACCTAACTTATACAATCACACAGTTCTCAGTAGGGCCTCTTTCTTGGCTGCTGTGTTACTGAACCAAAGTCTTGCTCACTAGATTGCAGGCCTGTTGCTGTTTTCATGTTACAGGTCTCTGTTTAGGCCTGCTGACTCCATGTTACCGACCCTCAACTTACTACAGTTACATTAAGAAGAAGAAAAATGATTAATTTCATAAGTCAAGGACTAACTTCAGGACTCCTGATGGGAGGGGGCAAAAGGGGCAGTTCTCATGGGACCTGGACAGTCAAAGGAGATCCCAGTTGCCACTGTTGATACTGCAGTGGTGGAGCCTGGAGCCCTGGGCCCCTTTAGAACATAAGAACATAAGAACGGCCGTACTGGGTCACACCAAAGGTCCTTCTAGCCCAGTATCCTGTCTACCGACAGTGGCCAGCACCAGGTGCCCCAGAGAGGGAGGACCAAAGACAATGATCAAGCGATTTGTCTCCTGCCATCTCTCTCCAGCCTCTGAAAAACACAGGCCAGGGACCCCATTTTATCCCCTGGCTAATAGCCTTTTATGGACCTAACCTCCATGAAATTATCTAGCTTCTCTTTAACCTCTATTATAGTCCTAGCCTTCACAGCCTCCGCTGGCAAGGAGTTCCACAGGTTGACTACACGCTGTGTAAAGAAGAAATTCCTTTTATTCGTTTTAAACCTGCTACCCATTAATTTCATTTGGTGTCCTCTAGTTCTTCTATTTAGGGAACTAATAAATAATTTTTCTTTATCGGCCCTCTCCACACCCCTCATGATTTTATATACCTCTATCATATACCCCCTCAGTCTCCTCTTTTCTAAACTGAAAAGTCACAGTCCCTTTAACCTCTCCTCATATGGGACCCGCTCCAAACCCCTAATCATTTTAGTTGCCCTTTTCTGAACCCTTTCCAAGGCCATAATATCTTTTTTGAGGTGAGGAGACCACATCTGTACACAGTATTCAAGATGTGGGCGTACCATAGTTTTATACAGGGGCAGTAAGATATTCTATGTCTTATTTTCTATCCCTTTCCTAATAATTCCTAGCAACCTATTTGCCTTTTTGCCCGCCGCTGCACACTGCGTGGAAGTTTTCAGAGAACTGTCCATGATAACTCCAAGATCCCTTTCCTGATTTGTCATAGCCAAATTAGCCCCCATCATACTGTACATATAGTTGGGGTTGTTTTTCCCAATGTGCATTACTTTACACTTATCCACATTAAATTTCATTTGCCATTTTGCTGCCCAATCACTGAGTTTGGTGAGATCTTCTTGGAGTCCCTCACAGTCTGCTTCTGGCTTGACTATCCTAAACACTTTGGTATCATCTGCAAACTTTCCTACCTCACTGCTTACCCCTTTCTCCAGATCATTTATGAATAAGTTGAAAAGGATTGGTCCCAGGACTGACCCTTGGGGTACACCACTAGTTACCCCTCTCCAATCTGAAAATTTACCATTTATTCCTACCCTTTGTTTCCTGTCTTTTAACCAGTTCGCAATCCAAGAAAGGACCTCCCCTCTTATCCCATGGCCATGTAATTTACACAAGAGCCTTTGGTGAGGGACCTTGTCAAAGGCTTTCTGAAAATCCAAGTATACTATATCTACTGGATCCCCCTTATCCGCATGCTTGTTAGCTTTTGGATTATAAGTACAAATTCCATCAACAATAATAGATAAGGAGGATATAATCCACTCACAAGGACTCATGAGCATAAGCCGCGCTTTGTATCAGTGCCAGGAAACGGTAACTTTATTGCCAGGTGTGTTTTATTATTTTGTTGGATGACCTATACATTATATAATCTGAAAAGATGTATAGGCCTTACCCTCTATCTTGGAGCAGTTTGAAGTGGGTGGGAGTGTAGAGAAGAGGATGTGACGGGAATATGAACAGGCAAGAAACAGTTTTCTTCACAGGTTCTCGTGTATTTTTTATTTTACTTTCACTGCATCCTGTGATTTTTGTGACCACATCACATGAAATAAAGTGTGTCCAAAGTTAGTTGTAGTAATTACACCATCATATCAGCTGAAGTTCATGAAGTTCAGCTCCTACCTCTTTATGACTGTGCTGTATTGTGTGCTTTGCAATGAGACCAACAAAAAAAAAAACCCAACCCAAACAAACAAACAAAAGAACACCCTCATACGAATTATGGCAACAGCAGCAGTTCTTGTCTCTGTGGCCAGGCTGGCAAGGCGCAGGTTTGATGTCTCACAATGTGGAAGACAATATGGTCAGACCTGAAAGATTAAGAATCAGACTCTAAAGAGTTCATGAGAGTGACCCAAAATCATGAAATGGTTTTTGTAAAGATTAAATTTAAAGATTAATTGATCTGGATGTTTATATTCCCCCTGCTGACTCCTAATGCTTCTCTGATGGCTGGAATGCATCACAGGCAACAACAGGGGAAAACAGCAGCAGTTGCTGGGGTAGAGCTGCTTTAAAAGCTAGTTCCCCCCGAGCACCATCTCTGTGGTTCTGCCTCCAGCCCTCTATCAGAGGCAGCAGCGTGCAAGAGTATGTAGGGGTCAAAGGAGGCTGCTGCAGAGCATCCGCTGCTTGGGGTGGGTCTAAGCTCGATGTGGGCAGAGGCTGATCTGGCGAAGCAGACAGCCCGTCCCAGTCCCAACTCGAGCTGTGTCTGGCATCTACCCCTGCTGCACCTCCGCAGTTTAAATGCAGTAGGATCTGGGCTGCATGCACACCTGGCTCTTACTACATATAAACTGCAGAGCCACAGCGGGGGTTGCTCCTGGAGGCAGCGCAAGCCAGGACTGAGCACCTCCCCTTATCGGCTAATTGTGTAGTCGATAGAATTTGTATTGACTACACAATTAGCCAGTTGGCCACCTCTTGTCATCCTTAGCGCTCCCTGGAGGATGCAAGTGAGATAAAAATGCTCACGTTTGTGTAAAGTATTGACTGCTGGGGCACACCTTCCTGCTTCTCTTGCAGTCCCACCCTCTCCCATATTAATGAATTAACACTCAACCCTTCTCAGCTTCCTGTCAATTAATTTTCTTCTCCCCTGCTCACATGTCTGCCTCAGCCTCCCCTCAGTTCTGCACACACATAAGCGTGACCGTATTTCCCTGTGCTGAATACGGGACATCCGGTAAAATTATTCATATTCTAGTGAGTCCAATGTCAGTCCATGAGAACTATGCAGTAGAAACATTCCAATTACCACCGAGTTGACTGAGCCCCTGTTAAAAATAAATAGTGTGTAGCTGGAGTCATTTTATTTATCTTC